GCTTCACGGATTGAGGGCGAGTGATTTTCAAAATGTGCATCTCACCTGAGCGCCGCGCACATTTGTTTCAAACATGCGCAAGAGCTTCACGGATTGAGGGCGAGTCGTTAAACAAACTGCCTTTTCAAAATGTGGCTCTCGCCCCAGCGCCGCGCACAGTAGTTTTAAACATTTGCAAGAGTTTCACTGGTTCCCATCATCAACGTACCACAAGGGGGGTCTTGGAAGGATTCAGGATTACGCGGGTGCAACAGTTACGTTGATTCGCTGTCGTGGGAATGGCGTTCTGGCACGATTCAGGATCGCCAAAACGCAACAGTCAGATTGATCCGTGGTGCTGTAATCCCGAGAACAATGTTTCAACATGCTTCAGGGTCTTCAAACGGGTGTCTTCCATCGAGGCAGTTCCATCAATGGAAATGAACAGTTACAGGGGCCGGTGAAGAGCGAGCTTGGATGGAGGGTTTATTTCAACATCGCTGATGACTCTTAAGTTTACACTGGTCCTCCTCCTCCTCTTCCTCCTCCTCCTCCTGTTCCTCCTTCTCCTGCTTCTCCTCCTGCTCCTCCTCCTCCTCCTCCTCTTCCCCCTTCCCCTTCCCCTCCCCCTCTCCCTCCCCCTCCTTGGGCGCCCGAGTTATCCGGGGTAACTCGGGTCCGGGGTAACTCGGGTTTGGATTCCCGAAAAAGGAACCCGAGTTAGCCCTGACCCGAATTACCCCTGATGATTCGGGGCTCTGGACGCCCGAGTAATCCGGGGTAACTCGGGTCCGGGGTAACTCGGGCTTGGATTCCCGAATAACGAACCCGAGTTATCCCTGACCCGAGTTACCCCTGATGATTGGGGGCTCTGATCTCCCCTCCCCCGTTTCCCCCCCCCGTCCCCCCCCCCCACCTAACGAAAATACACAAACTGGGGATGCCTCCCCGCCCTGAGCCGATCCAGGACCACGTGGGCGAATCGAGCCGCGAGGTCCTGCTCTTCGATGAGACAGCGGTTTGGCGCGCGGCTGGAGAAGGAGCACAGCCGGCCTCCTTCCCGTTGGCCCCCCTGCGCATCCTTCTAGTACGAGGCACAACGGGCTCACCGCTCCTGTGGGCTCTCCCACGACCCCATCGGCGTCTCCCCTGGTGCGGCCCACAAGGGTAAAGTCGGGCCTGTCCCTCTACAGGGAGAAGATTCAGCACAATATGAAAAATAGTCCGGGAACGTTTGTTTTTTGTTATTGTTTTTTGCTTTGCTTGTGCTTTTTAGAAAGGAAATCAGAATATATGTATTGGGGTATTGTTTGCATGTTGTTCTGGTATTGTTTAATATTCATCCCTACAGGGGGATTTGGGGCGAAAGTTAAACTATCCAAAATAATAATAAAAAACAAATGGGCAACAATATTAAAACAATCGTCCCAAAACTGTTTAAACCTATGTTTGAACCGTCCTCCTGTAGAAAGACAGGCCCGACTTAATAGATCTGCCACCGTGTCTCGAGGCACGGAGTGGAGTGCTGATGCGTGAAAAAGGAGGCAGGCGTCTGGAAGCGCCATCAATCAAAACCAACTCGCGCAAGCCGCGGCCGAAGGACCGCACATCGATGTGGGACAACAGACGTCCTCGCAGAGGAGCTGCCCTACCATGCAAAGGCAAACGCTGTTGAACTCCAGGGTCAAAAAAGCCGCGACCACAAAGCCGCGCGCCGTGCCGTCACGGGCCGGGCGGCTCCCGCCAGCCTGTATCTGGGGGCAAAGGTGGCGTCTCCCTCGGGCTTCCAGAGTTCTCTACTCTACAGAATTCGGCCTGACCTAAGGAACGAACACAAGAAACGAAGCCCCTTTTTTCCCAAGTAAGTCTACGAAATTCGAAAGAACACCAGAGGGACTCGCCGCCAGAAAGGTAGCGGAACGCATGCAAACCAAAAGAACGACCTAGCCCTTTTTGAAAAGTAAGTGTTCCGTATTCAAGCCGGACCCTGTACTCTGCTTGAGCCTTACATTTCAACTACTCTGGGCGGCTCTGCGCGCTCTCGGGCTTTCCAGCGCGACTTCTTTCCAGAGGCCCGGGGGTCCATATGACGGGCCAACCACAAGGGCCGCACGAGGCCCTCAAGACGGCCCCAGCGGCCCCACAGACGCCCCAGAAGGGCTCCGAGAGGCTCCAGACGGCCCCGAAACGCCAAAATCGCTGGTTACCCTTAGGTTTCTGAAGGGCGTCAGAGCTCTCGCCTTTCCGGCCTTTCGACGCCCCAAGGCGGCCCGGGAGGGACCCAAGATCGCCCCAAGACGGCCAAAGAGACCTCTGCGAGCGCCTCAAGACGGCCCAAGACAAAACAAGAGGCCCCCAGCACGCCTCAGTAGGGCCCCACGGGTGGCCCTAGAGAAGCCCAGATGGGGAACACGAGCCGAGATTTCGAGCTGTTCGTCCCAACATGCCCTCCGAGAAAGCCAGCAAACTTCCAAGAGGCCCCCACAAACTCTGGGAACCCCAAGAAGGCCAAATCAGTCCCAAAGGTCCCCGAGAGGCCCCCTCAAACACACCAAAACCAATTCCAAAAGGCTTCAGAGAGGCCTCCCAAGGAGATTCTCACAGGCATCCCGGCCACTGACCTACAACCCAAACAGGGTGGCGACATGGGCCGAAAACAACTAGAGAGTTCCCGCTTCGCGGTTTGAGTTGCACATCCCCAGCTCTTATCTAATTTTCTCCACCAGTTACCCACAGCCTATGGGAGAAGTGAGCGACGTCGGCTGGCCTGGGAGTTCCTGGACTTTGCTTGGAAATCAAACGCAACTCCCGCAGCTGCCGCACCCCCCAACTTCTGCCCAGACGAATTAGAATCTCGGTAAGTCTTTAGAACCCCCAATAGGGGTTACCTAGATAATTTGTCGGCGGCCTGATTCACGGACTGGTGGTCCACCCGTCCACCAATAGCGGGAACAATTTTTTTTTCGCCCGTAGCTTCCGCCGCGCAACAACGACGGTGACAACTACGCCTACGACTGCGACGTCTGCTTGCACTTATGGCTCAGAAGCGCTTTCACGGAAAACCTTAGCTCAGAAACTCAATCCTCCGAAGCTCTATCCTCAGAACGGCTCTCAGCAACGCCTTCGGCGAAGACGAATGTGTCGACCTGTTTTCCACTCCTCTCACACACGTGCTCCAATTTCCTCTGTCATGTAGGGTAGCCCAGGGGGCATTATTCCCTGGGAGACAAAAAACCCGACATTATCAAACCCGCCCCGCAATACAGGAAACATAACCTCCGCCGCGACGAGGAGGTTTTAGGACCAGCCCATTCACCACCGAGAGAAAAGGAGGGGAACCCAAACTTCAGACTTACCGAGGTTAGCTGCCTCGGGCGACTTCTCAACAATGTCCGTCTTCTCGTCCTCGTTTCCCTCCTTATATCCTCCTTCTCTCCCCCCCCTCCTCCTCCTCCTCCTCCTCCTCCTCCTCCTCCTCCTCCTCCTCCTCCTCCTCCTCCTCCTCCCCATCCGCTTCCACTCCCCCGCTTCCTCCCCGCCTCCCTCTTCTCCCCTGCCTCTTCCTATCCTCCCCTCTCTTCCCTCCCCCCCGCCCTGCCCCTGCCCCATCCCGCTCCTTGCCGCCCTCCCCCGAAGGCTCGAATGCTCAGGGATTGCCAGACGGGCTCAGGAGAGACCCTCGCTGGCTCCCTGCTGTCAGCTCCTGTCGGGTGTTGCTAGAATTACCCCTGGCCCAAGGTGCCCTCAGGATTCTCGGGGTGGCCCAGACGGCCTCCAGAGCACCCCCCACGAGGCCCAGAGGGCCCCAGGGCCCCCAGAATGGAGCGAAAAGCTGGGGGCACCTCGGGCCAGGGGCACTTCTCGCAACACCTGGTCCTGGAAGGCCCGCCGGGCCCGCGCACTCCGAACGACGGCTCCGCCACTCCCCTTCCCATGCCTCCCCTCCCCCTTCGCTCCCCCTCTCCTTCCGTCCCTTCCTTCTGCCCGCTCTCCATCTGTGTCTGCATCCCTCCTCTCTCTCTCTCTCTCTCGCTGGTAGCGCCGTCTCCTCCCTGCTGCCCGCTCTCCGCCGCCACAGCGCAAGCTCATCCCCCCGTCTCCTCTCGGGATCCACCAGAGGGGAAAGCTTAGAAAACTTCTCCGCAGGCCGGAGGACTTCCGAACCTTCTGAGAAGGCCTTCTCCTTCTCACTTCCCCCCCCTCGCTCGCCGCCGAATGATTCCCAACGCCCCCTAGTCATCCCCCCCCCTCTTGTCGGGATCAACTAAAGAGGGGAGGACCCTGAGGGGGGGCGTGAGCTCGATCCGTTGGTGCACCGGACTGCCGTAAACAGATGCCCCCCGCATGCCCCACCAATCGGCATCTATCGGGATCTGCTGGCGGCTGGGGGGCATCTGTTTTGGGCGGTTCGGTGCAAAAACCGATCGAACTAACACACCCCTGGAGCACACCTCCCCCTTTGCGGGATGCCGATCCTCCCCCGCCTCACAGACATCGGGCCGCTCCATTTTTTCCGATGCGTGGGCCCTGGAGGTCTGGACCACCTCTCCAGCGTCGGCTTTTCGCCCTGAGTCGTCTTCTGACGGTCCCGAACCTGGTGAGGGACCCAGGATGCCGAAAACGGCGAAAAACCCGCCGCTCCTGGTTATTCGTTCGGAGCGCCAGATCTCTGGGAATGTAGTTTTTGCTTTTTGCAACCTGGTCTCCCCCGAGGTGTGGACCCCGTCCCCAGTGCCTCGCTGAACGGGGGGGAGCGATACATGAGGGGGAGAGAGAAAATATGGATTCTTGGACATGAAAGCCTTCTTTGGGGCCCCAATGGAGGGCCATAGATGGCACCTTTTCTGCAGCCCTCGCTGCCCCCCCATGTATCGCCCCCCCATTCATCGGATAGGGGGCGTCCAAGAGGGACGGCGTCCACGGGGGGGGGGGGGCGCAAATTTTGATCTTTAATCATGGCCGACGGCACGTGCGCGGCCCACTGGGGGGGAACGGGCGGGGGGGGGCCGGAGACCACGATCTTAGCCGCCCCCGAACCAATCGAGGCCCAAGACCCGCGTTGTGCACCCCAGGCCCGCCTTCTCCTCAGGGACGGCCACGGGGACCCCCAGGGCCTCCGGAGGCCCGGGCCCGGAAACCAACAACAAAAAACTGCGGCGGGTCGTGGCCTCTCCGCGGCGCGGGGAGGCAATCTGGCACGAAGAACCTCTGGCCATCGCCCGGACGTCCATGCCCCCCTCCTCCTCCTCCTCCTCCTCCTCCTCCTCCTCCTCCTCCTCCTCCTCCTCCCTCCTCCTCCGCCTCCCTCCACCGTCCGCCCCATGTCCCTAGCCTGTGTTCGGGTCATCAGCTCGCCGTGTCGTTGTCGTCGTGGTCGTCGTCCTTCTGGGTCGGCGGCACCGGCTGTAAGGCCTGCACAACCCTGCCATTGCTCGGACGTCCATGCCTGGTGCATTTATCGACTTCTTGCACGCATTTCTCAACAATATCTAAGATGCAATGATCTGAGGTGATCCCCACTGGTCCTCGCCGAAAAAAAACAATACACACGTCCGAGCGAGGCCAAGAAGCGGGTCCTGAGGAAACGAGGCCCTGGACCCCATAGGACGCACCACGGCTCGAGCTAAACCGTGTTTTTCACTTTCGCTTCGCCTTCGTTCTCATTCGTGCTGTCTCCTTTTTTTGTGTTTGCTGCGAAACGGAGTCAGATCGAAAACCTTCCATGAAGTCGCCGAACCACCGTTCAGCTCGAGCCCTGGGGCGCAAAAGGACATACTAGTCCTCTGTGCCCTCGTTGGACGCGTGCGTCTGACCGGAGCATCTGGTATACCCGTTTTGTAGTATATGGTTTCCCGAATGGTATGGCCAGAAGCACCCGCGACGGAGCTTATACTTAGAGCCCTCCTACATGGGGTCCGAGTAGATGGGGTTGGAGGATCGCGCCGCATCGCCGATACATCGGCAATGCATCGGAGATGCACCCGCGATGCATCGTCGACGTCGGCGATGCATCGAAGACGTCGGCGTGAAGCAAATCGGGCTGCACATCGAGCCGCGTCGGCGATGCACCGGGGATGCGGCGCGATCCTCCGACCCCATCTACTCCGACCCCATCTAGGACGCCTAGAATACTAAAAGATTTATTGGCGCGAGCGTCGCCCCCGAATGGCGACGCACACGCATAGCATTCGTACTTGTTGGGGCAACGCCGACTCTTCACAACGCGAACGAAGGAAACGGGCCCCGAGGCCAAACAAGCCCCGGACCCCGGAGCTTTCTCCCGGGGTCAGCTCCTTACGACTCTCGCTCTTGGAGGGCCCCGCGAGGCCCGGGGAGGGCCCCGCGAGGCCGTCACCCCAGAACTGACTGTCCTTTCGAGAATATACGACGAAATGCGTCGCATGTTCGTAACTCGATCGAGCGTTCTGAGCATCATTCCGTCGATTCGGCGGGAAAACAAATTTCGGGGTCAAGCAATTTTGTAGTCGACCCCCTACCGTGGGAATATATAGCAAGGACAGGTGGTAAAACGCAATGGCCTTGGACACCGACATGGGCACTTTCTGGACGGCGGACTGCCAAAGAAACCCTAAAGGGCTGGCCAGTGACAACCGCGACGGACAGGCCGCAGAGGCGAGGACGAAAGGGCACCCTGAGGAGATCCGTGCGTCCTTACCATGAATTTTGACTGTACTCGACCTCCAGACCCGCGTGTTTCATGGCGACGGTCTGGGCCCGCATAGGGCGCCGACCGGGGCCACGGTCATCTGCGGCTTGTAGGTGTATATAGGCTTGTTCGACGGCGGCTTCGGGATGGGCTTCGCCGCCTCCGCCGTCACGCCCTCGATCCTGGCGAAAACGACACGGCCGTGCGGCGGACGGGCCCGACGCGGTGATGGAGGGCAGGGGGGGGCGGGGGAGGGGAGGAGGGGAGGAGGGAAGCGAGGACGTAAGGGAGGGGGAAGAAGCAAGAGAGGGAGGAGGGGGGGCCCGAGGGGGGGGAAGGGCGGGGGGGCCAGGGGCAAGGGAACGGCAGGAGGAAGGGAGGGGGGACAAGGGGCGCACCCCGCCCTCCGGAGCCTCTCCATGCCCCCCCCCCTCCTCCTCCTGCGTTCCCCGTGCGCCCCCATCCACCTCAACACCCCTTCCGCCTGCTGCTCCCGAGTTCCTCCTGCCCCCTCTCTCTGGGTCCCCGCGCGGGGGCGCGCGCGCCTCTGGTAGGCGCTCCGCGCAACGTTCCTGGGCACCGCCAGGGCGCTGGCCTGGAGGGCGGCGGGAGGGATGGGGCGTGGAAAGTCTCGGGTCGGGCGAAAGGGGGGGATAGCAAAAGGGGGGGTTGAGAATCAGCTCGCGTAGCTGAGTTTCTTCCCGGCGCCTCCCAGCGCCGAGGGGCGCCCCCATGTATCGAAGAATGGGCCCGGCGGCGGGGCCGAAACCAGCTGCACGTAGCAGATTTAGTAACCACCCTTTTCCCAATCCCCCCGTTTCGTCCGCCCCGAAAGTCATGGGGGGCGGGATAGGGGGGTACGAAATCTGGGGAGCCACGGGGAACCATGGGGAGCGGGACAGGGCGGAGAACCCTGAGATCTGGGCGTTGCAATTTTTTCTCGCGCTGGGCTATTTGGCTGGTGCCGGACCCTGGGGCCATCACAAGTCGGTCCAGCTCGAGACGTGCCGCACACGGGCAAGGTCTTGGCCCAGGGCTCCAGTCGTGCCCCCCGCGCGGCGCGTGTCTTTCTTGCAACGTCGGATCTCAGGGAACAGGGGCGGGAGAAGGGGCAACGGGAATGAGAATGGAGGGGGGGGGCCAGGCAGGAGACCCAGAATCGAATCGATGATTCGGGCTGACAATCGAAAAGGAATCGGATCGGCGGAAGCCGGCAGCCGAGTCGAGGAAACTCGTACGGGCGGGAACCGGCAGGCTGGCGGACCCCAGCGGAAACATCGGAGCCCACGGCGGAAACCGAAGCCGAACCGACTCGGGTTCGGAAGCCATCGGCATTGCATCGCATCGCATCGGAAAAATCGAAACGAGCCCTGCCCCCTGGTCATCATCCGCCTCGACGCCTGGTGGTCTGCAGGTCGGGGCACGAGCCTCCGGCGGCCTGCTCGGGGCGATCCGCCCCCAGGAACGCCCCCGACGAGGCGCAGCGCTGCTGGGGTGCAGCCCGAAGCGAGAAGACCGGCCAGAAATCAAGACGAGCCCCGGGGGTGGAGGGATCGAGGCGAGCGATAGGGGTGGAGGGTGAGGGTTCGAGTAACCCAACGGTCCCGATTATAATCCCGGAAGTATGATATAGATCGGGGGTCTGGCGGGGATACTCAACGAGTTGCTTGGGGAAGGTGATGTTAGTTAAGTTATGATGGCGATCTTGGGCGCTCGTGTAGACAGACCTTGTAGATCTTGGCACAAGACTGACTCGAGAGATCTCGAGGCTCGTGGCTACAACTTGCCTGCGCAAGAGAAGTCCTTGGCGCTTCTGGCCAAGAAACCTCTCTTCCGCACGGCCTCAAACCACTCGCCCATGCAGGCTCGGCATCCTTTGGGGCCGCCCGTGCATGGCAGGCAGTTGGTGCAGGCCTGGGCGGCAACGCTTGCCTCCTCGAAAGTGGCGTGCTTCGGCTCGACCGCTCGTGCTTCGGCTCGGCCGCTTGATGCAGTTGCTAGCCAACATGAGATGATGGCAACTCCGACTCGCAACTACCACCGGGGAGTATCAAATTCGGCCTCCGCGCCCCTCCACAATTAAATCCGATTGACATGGGATAAACAAAATAGGGAGGGGGAAAGGGCGGTGGGGTAGGCTATATTATCAGGGGCACTGGGTTGGGGAACCGACTACAGAATTGATGTACCCCAAACTTAGAAGTTTTCCAGCTGGACCTACGAAGCCTATACAACATTCGTGTTCCGTTGACTCAACTGCCAACATGCTGCGCAATATTCCTGCAAACTGGGCGAATTAACTTCGGGAAGGGGGGTCCCAGGGACCCCCTCTCAGATCTAGCCGCTACCGCCCACAGGACCCTCCCCTCGGAACCCTCCCCGGACCCCCCCAGGGACCGATCCAGGCACCCCCACGGAGGGCACGTCAGCTCCTAACAGCGTCCCTGACGACTCCGAGAGCATCCTCCCTCCCAATCAGCGCCCCCGACGACTCCGAGATCCCTGAATCCGGAGCCCCCCGCATCGGCGGCACCGGCCGGAGGCCACTACAAGCGACTCCGGGGCCAAGCAAGTCTGCAGCCGAACCCCCACACGAAGGGCGGGGGGCCCGGCTCTTCGCACCCCGAGCACCGCGCGCGCACCTCGACCCGAGGCCAGGGGCCTCGGCACGTCGAGGCGCGAGCGTCAGGTCGGGCACGTCCTCCCACGGGCGGGTGTTCGGAGGAAACCTCTACGAGTGGCAAACAGAATACTGAAAACTTGCCACGCAGAGTCGACCAACCCGTCCCCAGGCTATTTCTGGGCTTTTCTGTTTTGAATATTCCACCTGCAGATGGACATGCCCGACTTGATGGCAGGCCGAGGCACGAGCGGGCGAGGGTTGACGGCGCGCGGGTGAGGGGGGCTCTCGCCGCTCGCCGCTCGCTCTTGCCGAAAACCTGCGGTTCCAAAGCGTGGGGCGAGGCCAGGGCGAGGATCAGTTCTCGGTCGGGGACGCGCAAGCATGGATTAGCAATCCATGGGTTTGGCGAGAGCTCGCCAAATCCACGGTTCGGGAGAGGTGTGACCCTCCCCAGAGTGCGGCCGGTGCCGCCTCGTTCGGCGGCGGAAATCCACGAATTCCCATGGAAACGGGACCCGGTTGATAATCCACCCCCCTTGATCCATGTTTGCGATCGCTTGAAATTCGGGGGTGGATGAATCGAGAATCTGTGAGATCCGGCGGCTCTGGAAGATGTCTCGGGTGCCGCGCGGCCTTCTCAGAGCGTTCCGGAACGCTCCGAGGGCGTTCCGGAACCCTCTGGGACGGATGTATTTCCTCGTCCTAGCCCCGTCCGCAAGCGTGTGGCGTGCAAAGGGTGTGGTCTGCCACCAGCACCCTGGGGGGGCAACCTTGGGGTGCGGGCGGGGACCTCGACAAAGCTCTCCGCCGCGCCCCGGGAAGGCCCGACGAGGGTAGTGTTGTGCTCCCCTCGGGCCCCCACGGTGCCTATGGCAAACCACACCAAGGCGCAACCATACCCTTTTCGGCAGCGCGTACAGGGGGGTAGGGGGAGGGAGGAAGGCTTCTTGGAAGGCGCGGGCCTTACTTTTACAGACAAGGAGCGCGCATTCTAGGAAGCAGGGGTGCTTCTGCGCACCACAACGGGGCCTCCTGTTGGCGGCGTGCGAAGAGGAGTGTGGGAGGGGAGGAGGCTTCTCGGAAGGAGGCTGCTTCTTAGAAGGCGCGGGCCTTACATCTGAGAACACCCCTCTGCGCGCCGCCAAGAAGGAGCTCCGAACAGCGACAGTTCACACCACGATGGCGTGGTCGCTGGTCTCCAAGAGGCCCAACAGAGGCCCCGAAATGGCTCTGGCCCCCAGGCAGCTCCCAGCACGCTCCCAGGGACTCCCAGACAGTGCCCAAGAGGCCCACGACGGCTCAACTGTGGTCTCCCCTCCTCTTCTGGGGGTCGGCGGAAAGGCGTAAGCCTCCTGGATGGTGAAAGGTTCACGTCACGATGGCGTGGACACTGGTCTCTGACACTGCGTGGATCGTTCACTCCTGACCGATCATGGGTTTCCGATAGCATAAAGAGGTGTTCGATTTCGCCTGACCGATGACTCTGATGGCCCTGCCTCAAGGAGTCGCACTGGATACATATATATGTATATATACATATATATACACATATGTATATATATACATATATATCAACCTGAAACCTGTAGACACGCCAATGAAAATCACGCAACGCCTTTGAAATCTGAAAGGCGTCGGGCTCTACCAGTTTGACTCCCCGAGGCGGCGCAAAGGCACACGGCGGCGACGGCGACGGTGACTCCGTTGACGGCGACGGCGACGACGAAGTCGGCAATGACAAAGGCGACGACGACGGCGAGGGCGGCGCCGACGCTGGCGCTGACGACGGCGGCAATGATGACGCCTGTCGACAATGGCACACTGTTTTCATCAGCTGAGGGGCTACGACACGCTCAGGACGGCGATTGCGCACTGAAATTGCCTCGTCGTCGCTGATCGGCTGATGGTTAGCAGACGTCGTGCTACTGCAATCGGGGCGTCGACCTAAGGAGCCCTAGATACGGAACGAGGCCCCTGCTCTCCAGAAACGAAGCTTCGCTTCCGGCAAGCTGTGAAGCCACTCAGGAACACGGAGCCCGTCCCCAACGGAAAGGATTCCTTCCTCAGCGCCCCGACTGTATCACGGAACGCTGGATCAGGAATGAAGAGGCCTTGCAGCCCACCCGACCCAGTGCTGAGGAACGGCCCGCAAGCCAGAGCTCCGACGCAGAGCCAGGGAACGGCCCGAAGGCCACGGTCCCTCCTGCCGGGCAGGCCGAGGCACGAGCGGGCGAGGGTTGGCGGCGCGCGGGTGAGGGGGGCTCTCGCCGCTCGCCGCTCGCTCTTGCCGAAAACCTGCGGTTCCAAAGCGTGGGGCGAGGCCAGGGCGAGGATCAGTTCTCGGTCGGGGACGCGCAAGCATTGATTAGCGATCCATGGGTTTGGCGAGAGCTCGCCAAATCCATTGTTCGGGAGAGGTGTGCCCTCCCCAGAGTGCGGCCGGTGCCGCCTCGTTCGGCGGCGGGCGAATTCCCATGGAAACGGGACCCGGTTGCTAATCCACTTCCTTGATCCATGTTTGCGATCGCCTGGTAAACCCAAGGTGGTCCTTGTTTCCGCGCCTTGGCTGCACAGAACAATGCAACTGGAGTCCGCCGCCAGGGAAAGTACAACCTTCCATCACGAAGGCGACGGCGACGGCGTCGGCGGCGACACCCCAAGACTTCCCAGGACTTCCAGAGAGGCCCCAAGAGGCCCCCAAGAAGCCCCACGAGGCTCCAACCATGCCGCTGCGAGCATGCAGACAAGTGACAACGATCTATGGGCTGGCGGAATGAGCGAAACGATTGAATTAAAACCTACTTCGACCCGCGGACCCGTCTGATGAGACGAAACCGAAATCAGTAGATCCCTTCTTCCGCTCAGTCCCCCTTTGTTGTGACATCTGGGCGGCCTTTGCCGTGGCCTGCGAATCTTGCGCGGCCAGCCCGCCTTCACTACCCAACCCCTGCCTCCGCGTTCCCCAAATAGTGCCCGCGATGTCTGCCCTCTCAGGGGCGCTCAGTTGAATTGAAACCTACCTTTCGGTCGGGCACGTCCTCCTCAGGCGGATCTTACAAAACAAACGAAGCATTGTGGAACAAATCGTCAAACACACAGTCAGGAGAGCACGAACAATCGTCACCACACTATTTGCTTTACTATTCTTGATTATTCCTCCAGCAGGAAGACATGCCCGACTTCAGCCTACAGTGCGGGCGCGGCCGCAAGAAACCCTCGCAAGAAATCAAATCCTGAGAACCCGTGAGCGAGGTACACCTGAGGGGAAACCAGGACGGAGCACCCTGAACGTGGCAGCTCCTTGAGCGGCCGCGGGAAGCCACCGCGCAGCGCGAGGAGCGAAGGAACCCAGGGTACAGGGCGCAGCTTTTAATACATAGGATATTTCAACATATAGGACGTTTAATACATGGTTTATGTATGCATAGATTTATGCATGAACTCATCGTTGTTTTTAATACTAAATCCCTGCATGTTTAATGCATGATCCGCACGCGGAGCATGTATGAAAAACGGCACTGTACCCTGACGAAAAGCAGATGGCTTCTTGATGCGCGCCCCCCTTCGACGACGGCGCCAGCGGTGGCGTCGGCGGCGGCGACAGTGATCGGCGGGCCTCGGCGCCGGCGGCGAGGGCGGGCAGGGCGCCGTGGCCGCGCGCCAGGGCCCCCGGCTGCACGAACGCCTCGGGCAGGGCCCGGATGCCGCCGCTGGCGACGACCCCGTCGCCGTGGCGGTCGTCGTCCTCCTCGTCGTCGGCGGTGTAGTCGACGGCGGCGTCGTCTACTCGTCGTGGTCGTCGAGGGCTTTTCTGCCGCGGTGCCGTCGTGCTCGTGGTGCTCGTCGTCGTCCTCGTCGTCGTAGCCGTCCTCCTCCCCGAAGGGGGTCCTCGCCATCGTCCTCCTCAGCCTCCACGACGTCGTCGGCGCCGTCGTTCTCCGCATTGGCACCGTCTCCCCCTAGAGTCTTCGTCCTCTGTCCCTCTCGCCCCCCTCCTCCTCCTCCTCCTCCTCCTCCTCCTCCTCCTCTTCCACTGCCCCCTCCCCCTCTGGTCCCCGAGCGATGCTTGCGCTGAGGGATTATACAGTAGAGGCCAGTCCACAAGAAACCTTCCACACGAAACCCAACACTGAGACCCCAGGACGACCATTGGTTTTTGGTGTGGGAACGTCACTCTTTCCACAGCAAAGCTATCGAAACCCAAGAAAGCCAGGGTACTATGGAATCAAGCACGGTGAGTATTGGCATGGGCCTCCACTGTACACAGTTTGCACCACCTAGATTGCGCCACGCCCGAGGGGTCCCCAGGAGAAGGCCCCAAGATGCGCCCAAGAGGCCCCAAGAGGCCTTCAGGAGGTCCCCAAGAGGCATCAAGAGGTCCCAAGGAGGCCCCAAATGGCCCCCAAGTGGCCCCCCAGAGGCCTCACACCTGCCTCCAAGATGCACCCGAGAGGCCTCCCACGAGATTCCAACGAACATCCACTAGGCTCATCACCCACGACCCAAGCACGGCGCCGGGACTTGCCGTACGCAGCTGGATATCTCGTACCACGTGGATTGCACTCCGCAGCGCACATTACACAACCTGCACCACACGACCTTCACGGCACAACTTGCACAACGTACGGTTTCTTTCGAGCGAAGAATAACTGATGCCCTCCTCCCCCTTCCCCCGACTTCAGAGGGACAGAACCCCCTTTAGAAGAACGTGGTTTAATGAAAACGACCTCGGGCCCAAACCTTGCGGGTCAAGCCTGGAAAATGACGGCCGCGGCGCCCTCTCGGGAACCGAACACGGACGATTCACTAATCGACGGACGATTCACTAATCAGTGGAGGCGCCCAAAGGACAACACACATGTCCTCGAACCTCGTCGGCAGGGACACAACCGACTGCATACACATACATGTTCGGAAATCCGCGCGTCGGCGCTGCACCCCCCTGGCGCGCGGAGCGCCACAGGCATCAACCACAATTTTTCAACATGACAGGTCATCAACTTCCACATGACGTCAAGCCATGCCAACCCAGGCGGTATAAAAAAAACAAACCAAAAAAACGGCCCGCACTGGAACGCCCGCGCGCCATCGCGGCCTGGGGGACTCGCTGGGGAACTCCCACCGGAAAGCGCTGCCTGTCTTCCACCACCACCACCATCATGACTTGGAGGGGGGAAGGAGGAAGAGAACGAGGAGGAGAACGGAGAGAAGGAGGAGGAGGAGGTGGAGGAGGAGGATGAGGAGGACCCCTTCCCCCTCCAAGTTATGGTGGTGGTGGTGGTGGCATGCCCATCAGCTTGTGCCAAACAAGCTGGTCAATCTGTGCGGGAGCGGGCGCGCAGTTCCAATCGACAGCCGCAAGTTCCAGTCGACAGCCGCAAGCTCCAATCGGCAATCGCCAACGGGTTGGAGAATACGACGTTTGCACGAGCATTGAAACTGACGAGTGCAAGTTCGACGCTTGATCTACATCATATCAACATATAGCTTGCACACCGTGGCACTCACCACGCGGCGCACACCCAACACGCATCGCATAGCCTTCAACACGAACACTGCGCATCGAAAGTGCAATGGCCAGCTGTTGGGCTCCAGGCTGGTCAATATGTTCGCCCAAAATTGAACAAACAACAACATAAGCATAACATGTTGATGTGTTCACCCTGTTTAGTATTTGGTTAGCTCAGATATAAGTGTTAGGTTTAAGGTTAGCCGGCTTAGCTAATCGCGAAGCTAACCTAGCTAACCCGACTTAGCTATCTTGATTCGTAGGCGTTGTCTTCACAGCGTCTGTCATACCAAGGCCGATGTGGCACTGTCAAAGCTGACTGTAGCAAAGTCATAAGGTTGCGCCGTTTAGTGCCATTCTGACTTGTCTGACGCTTGAGGTCTGGAATCCGTTTCAAAAATCCTCAATCGTTATTCCTCCTCCTCCTGTTCCTCTCCGTTCCTCCCCCTGCCCCTTCTCGATATGTGTGTCGTCGTTCGTCCTCCTCGCGTTTGCCATGTCACTCGTTATCCCTTCTCATCCCGATGTTGTTTTTCTCCTTCTCCTTCCCTGTGTTGGGGGCGGCGGAATGGAGGACTCAGCCAGGTCTGATATGTTTGGTCTGTTGCGCTATGAATGAAACGACGCTGTAAGGAAAAGACAAGGCATCGAAAACACGGCGGCCACTTACCCTGCATTCTTGATGTATGAGTTTAGCCCCCCAGTGAACGCACTCATGCAATCGATGCGCTTATCCGCAGCTTCTCGCCGAAAAGGATGTGGGAAACAACGCCTGGCGCAGCCAGCGAGAACACGCACGGCTCAATTATGAGCCCCGCGTTTATCAACTGAGGCTCAGATCGCATAGTGCACTTAGCATGGGACTTGTTGAATTCAACGGTATCCCAAACAACGATGGGCGTGAGAAGCCTGCCGTGAATTTTGGCGTGGAAAACAACTGCGCCAAAATGAATGGCCGTCCCGCCGTGGAAGGCCACGCAATCACCCATCACGATTGCCTTGCTGTGCACACGACGCGTCGATGCAACCGTTATGTCCGAACCCACTGCACCTGGCCACATGCTGCAAATTGAGTTGACCAACTGCGTTGATGCAGCCCTGGGGCCGATCAAATCCTGGCCATAAAACTCAGCATGTTCCAAATCCACGATGGCCTGAACTGTGATCTCATACATCATTCCACGGTCGAATGACTCTGTATTGTGCCTGGGTGCACTGAGCCGTTTGACGACCCTGTGTTTGCGTTCCATTAAGAGACAAGATATCAATGCCGAGTGTTTTGCCAGCTGCGCTGGTAAGTGAACCAATCCAGTGGTCCTTTGGTTTGAACATCGTGTGCTCGTAAACCGTGTAGTGCAACTGCATGTGGCCGACTATGCATTGGAACAGGTCATTTGGAGTCACATGGCCACTATTCACAACACTGCGCTTGGCAATGACATTGCACAACGCCACTGCGGACTCGCAACCTGGGACGTTGCATCCCCTCGGAATGACACAGGTCGTTAGCCACCTCTCCAGAACTGGCGATAGCGATACGAACTCCGACGCACTGCCTCTCAAAGGGTTGCCTTCCAAACGATGTTTTGCATGTGCGTATCCTCGCGGCCACTGCCACAACTTGAGATGCTTGTCCAAGCGCGCCGCGTTGCATGGAGTTGCCCCGAGTGACATCAACCGGGCTCTCACCTCTCTCTCGCAAATGCCGTTTGCAACGTGCGCGCGCATCCAGTCCCAGGCGTGCATTTTGATAATATTAAAATATAAAGCATCATGTTGAAGCAAACTTTCGGGGAGGTATGCACACCCCCCAGCTTGGTTTGCAAGTGTTCCAGGTCCCCCTTCGACATAGTTGCTGCGGCCTCCCGCAGCCTGCGCTGGATGCCTCGGATGCTGTTCGAATCGTGAAGGTCGAATTTGTCGAACTCAAGCGAATGCCCTGGTAACTGGTATCCCGTTCTAATCCCTTCTCAACGCAAGTGCCCTTGGAGCCATGGCGTTCTTGCGCAATTGACATATGATTACCTGTTGCTCCGACTGCTAATGTCATGAATTTGCGAGCTCGTTGACCCTGAACAACAGCGGACAAATCACCGTGAATCAAAATCGGCGTTCCTGAAACCAGAATGGCCACGCCGTCTCGTAGGTCGGGGCCGTGGGGGCGCCCAAGAAACAAGCGGAGGGCTGCTCTCACAACGTGGGTAAGGCCCCCAGGTAGCATATCGCATATGTGGGATCTGAGCACACACCGTCTGCCACATAATTTCATTTCCCAACGATGGCCGCCCCCATTCCTTCCACGCCCAATACAAGCAGTGAGTCTTACGCTTTTGACGGTCACTGAGAACGTTTCGAGGTGCGACTTCGTCGCTGTAAAACACCGGCGATAGACGACCAGAGGATCTACGCAACATGTCAGCGAATGCAACCTTAAACGTATCACTGGAATTGCAGGCCACCTCCATCATGCCATACGGGTGCTGGAACCAAACCTCTATCTCCCTGTCTCCATCTCTCACATCCTGGCGAAATACCAATGGGCCGAGCGACGTACTCTGCGTAGCGAGCTTGGCTTTGTGCCGAGCTTGCGTTGAAGGCGAAAGGTGGTCTGGAATGCCCTCGTCCCGAACTGTCTGCAACAGGTCGGCGATTGCGGCTGCAGTCGCACGTGATTTGCGCCCACTGTGGGTGAGCTTGACTTTCTTTGTGTCGGGTTCCATGATTGAGCCAAAACGGCTATGGTTGGGAGGGTTTGGGAGGGGGCTTGGAGCGAGGGGGAGGGGGGGAGAGGGAAGAGGGAGGAGGCTTGGAGCGAGGGGGATGCGGCCTGAAGCGAGGAGGAGGCTCGGAGTGAGGACGAGGAGGGACGAGCCGAGGAGCACGCGGAGTCAACGGCGACGACGTTCACGGCTCAGAACGACTATAGTGATAAGGAGGGTGGCGACGAGGGCTCAGGATTTGTTCTGGACCAACGCGCCGTCACGCGAATGCGTCTAGCGATCTCGTGCAGAGATTGCCTTCCCCGAGCCTTTGCAGCACTTCGCTGCAAACAACTATAGCAGAGCAGTGCACAAGCCTGCCCGCGATGTTTGCACCACGCGCTGGATGCAACCTGGAAAATCTCCGTGGCCACTGCGACTGAATTAGCGGGGGACATCCCCGCGTTCTTGGCCGTTGTCCTCGCGGCCCCGTAGGCGCGCGGATCGCCGGTGTTGCGATCCCTCGCTCCGATCTCTGATGGGCGCAGGAGCTTCCACCCCGAGAAATCCAAGGTCTTGCCCCCCTTGCTGATTTTGAGGCCACCCCTGGGCCCTGCGAACATTACGTAAGAAAAAAACACCAGGGACAGGAGGACAGGAGGACAGTGGCTGAGCAGGACAGAAGTGGACAGGAGGAGAAAACGATGAGGGAAGTAGCACGCGGGTGAGATCGGAGGGGGGCGAGGAGGAGATCGGAGGAAGAGGGGAGGACGAGGAGGGGGAGGAGGGGGAATGCGGAGGGGCGGCATTAGATTGGCCCTGCAGGAGCACCTCTGGTCGCGGGGGGTTGTCGACCACCGCCTTCTCGGGGCCGCTCGTCTCGTAAGCTCCGGGCTTCTTCTCAGCAGCAGGCCGCTTCAACGCGGCCTTGCAGCCCTTGCCGCCCTTGCCGCGTCTGCGACCGCGTCCGCGGCCGCCTCTGCCTGGCGCCTCAACGGCGTCCATCTTGTCTTCGAAGTCTTGAACGGAGTCGGTGGGATTTCCTTCAGAAGTGGGCTCGAGCAAAGGGGATGGCTCCTGCTGAGTACTTGGCGTAGCCTGAATCGCTTGAGGCGTCAAGGCAGGCAGAAACCACGGCCGCGGGAGAATCGACAGGATGGTCAACGTCGTATGCGAAGTTCTTAACGTCTTCGCGCAGGTCGGACGGGTTGTGCGGGTAAGATCGCACGTGGCCCATCGGGCACTTGATATTATTGCCCCAGCTCTGGATCACTTCCTTGAGGTCATGGCACCGCTGCTTCTTCGCATGCGGTTCCACTGCGTAGTCGCAAGCAACAACGAGCAGTATCGAAACGCCACGCTTTAGGGTCGGTGTGGAGGGGCGCGAGCAGCCCAGCTTCGCCATGCGAGTTCCCGCGCATTTTAATTTAGGCTGCATGGACAGCCTCGGGTCCTGGGACGTCTGCCAATCAGACTTCGTGAAGAACTTCTCTAAGCAGCTGGTGGTCTGGTTGGGCCTCCCTGCAGCGTCAGCGTTGCGAACTCCAGCTGCGACGTTGCCCAATTCGCTGTTGATCTCTGCGCTGACAAGCGTCGCCGCCTCCATGTCAATGGGCTTACTGCGCCAGTCCCGTACTAGCGCCAGAACCTGCGCATCCATGAGGGTGTCATGCGGCAGCCGCGCCGTCGCCCGCTGCTCCACGAACGCAACCCTCTGCCGAATCGACACAATGAGCGCGTCGGCCAAGACCCGACCCCCCCCCCCCCCCCCCCCCCCCCCCCTCCCCATCGCGCGACGAGGAGATGGAGTGCCCAGCGCAAGTCGCAGGGGAGCTGGCGAATCAGATCTTCAGCCCAAAAGGCTGCGGAGGGAAGGATGATGAGGAGAGAAACCCCGCGATGGTAAGCTTGAGTGCTTATGGTCGTTTAAGGGTGATGCCTGTCGTGTCGGAGGGGGGAAGAGGAGGGGGGGAGGAAGGGGGAGGAGGAGGAAGAGGAGGAGGGGGAGGTAGGATGACGAAGAGGAGGAGAGGAGGAGGAGGAAGAGGAGGAGGAGGAGGAGGAGGTGGAGGAGGAGGGAGGAGGAGGAGGAGGAGGAGGAGGAGAGGGGGGGAGTAGGAGGGGGGGGAGGAGGACGAGGTGAATGGGGAGGGGGATGGGGAGGAGGAGGAGGAGGAGGAGGAGGAGGAGGAGGAGGAGGAGGAGGAGGAGGAGGAGGGAGAGGAGGAGGAGGAGGGAGGAGAGGGGAGGAGGAGGGGCCCGAGCGACTCACACCAGAACTGAGCTTGAGCTTTAGAGGACAGTTTGCAGAGGCATTAGGTCGCAGTCACCCGCGCGCGCGCTGCGTGTCACGACGACTTGTGGATGGGGGGGGGGGGGGGGGGGGAGGGGAGGAGGAGGAGGAGGGGGGGGAGGAGGAGGGGGAGGAGGAGGAGGAGGAGGAGGAGGGGGAGGAGGAGGAGGAGGAGGAGGAAGAGGGATAAGGGCCCGAACGACTCACACTAGGAGGCGAGTCGTTCGGGCCCCCCTGGATTTGGACGAGGAGGAGGAGGAAGAAGACGAGGAGGAGGAAGAGGAGGAGGAGGAGAAGGATGGCGAATGAAGAACGCTCACCCGGCTAGGGCCCTGCATCCGACCAGGCCCCAGACTGCCTGCATCTGCTGCGCCCTGTTTTGCCGACATCGACCTCGTCGTTGCCGTCGTGTTCGTGATAGTAGTAGCGATCGTTTTCGTACCCTGCACAGCGCCCCCTGGTGACCCCTGGATATCCGAGTCGGGGAGCGGGCCGCGCGAAGGGGATCATGGGCCGTCCTGTTTCCCGCCCCACGCCCCCTCATCATCCCGGAGCGTCACTCCGATGCGTCACGACGTCGCAACGGCATGCCGAGCGGGCCTGGGCATGGGCTCTGCGGCGCCTCAGGGGGGCTGGAAATGGACCCTCGGAGATGCAAAATCCAATGGTATGCAAACCGCCGTTCGAGTCGTTGCGAAAATGCGATCAGCCCCAGATCCAAATCGTGCGAAATCCCCTAGGGGACTTCGCACGATCGTGCGAAGTCCCCCAGGGGACTTCGCACGATTTGCCTCGATACATTCGCTTGGAAATCGCACGAAGTCCCCCAGGGGACTTCGCGCGATTTCTACATTCAGCATCTGGACGACATCCCGCGGTCGAAATCTCAGATCTGGAGCTGAATGCACGCCGAATTTGAACTGTCGCTCAGCCCCCTAGTCGTTGACATCCTCCTCCCGTTCCTCTCCCTCACCCTCCTCTTCTGCTGAGTTCGCCAAGCGTGCAAGACGCCGAATGTTATGGCCACAACCCCATGTCGCCGGCCCGACGGCGCCGTGCACTGGCGAGCTCCCTGCGCCCGCGCGCACGGGCCGACGAGCTGAGCACCGTGCTTCATGCACGGATGCGCATCGCATCGCAAAAATTGACGCGCGCACAACCCCGCGCGCACGTCGCCCATGCAGTCGCGAGCTGGCTCGCGCCGACGGCGTATACCCCTCTACGACATCTGCGGAGGCTCTGTGCGATGCTGCTCGCGGAACTCCTCGAGCACCCTCTGGATTTTCACAGCTGAGTCCTGCGTGTCGCTGGGGAGGCCTCTCCTGACTGCCATCGTCTTCGCCCTCCATTTGCCGACTGCCTCGTCGAAGCGCGGGACGGCCAGCCCGCGCTTGTAAGACGCCCACGTTGCGACCGTCGGTGCGTTCAGCATGGGCCCCCACATCTGCTGCTCCATGGCGATGGCGGGGGCCCTCTTGAGAAGCTCGATGTTCTCCGAGGTCAATTCCTTGATGAGCTTCGAGAGAAAGTGTGGCGCCTTCTGCACCCATGTGGCGTGGTCCACGTAGGTGCCGTATTTGACGGCGACAGGAAAGAAGCCTGGAAAAAACTGGACCGATCTTTACCCCAGAGCGGTCGGCCCCACTGCACTATGGACGTGTTATTTGGTTGCCCGTCTACAAGCGACCAAATGGCACGTCTAATCGGGAGGGGAAAAACGTTCAACCCCAGATGCGAGTGCAACCTGGGGCGCGCCCACTGCCCCGGCGTTGCGCCGAGGGCGCGGCGCGCTCGAACCACGCCCCGTTCAGCCCACCCCGCCGCCATCATTTACAACTCGGAGATTGTGCCAACGATCCCTGAAGTACAACTTGGCATCCCTGACCCCGTAACTCCATCCGACCATCCCTTCGTTTTCCATGCCCCCTCACCCTTCACCCCTCCTCGCCCCCTTCACCCCCCATCCCCCCGCCGCGCCCGCGACGAGGGCGGAGAGTCAAGAGCTCACCAGTTTCCCTGTCCTCGTCCTCCTCGCCCCCGTCGGCGCCCCGCGGAGACATACTGTCTCTGAAAACTGTCTCCTCAAGCTCAGCTCATTCGGGCACGCGCGCGACGGAATGCATTAGAAAGCTGTCCTCTCACGCTCAGGCCCTCAATCGAGTTCAGGGCGCGCATTTCCGAATGCCCCCTGGGCGCGGAGGAAGAGGGGGAGGGCGGGGATGAGGAGGATGGGGGGGGGGGGGGGGGGGAGGGGGGGGGGGGGGGGGGGGGGGCAATGATGAGGAGGAGGACGAGGATGAGGAGCATCATCAGCAGCAGGAGCAGGAGGGGAAGGACAATGGGTGCGTGTTGTGTGACATAACGACATGTGGACACATGCGTTCCATCGCTGATTAGCGCGATGGGGCGCCCTTGCATCCGATCCACGCGCCCTGCAGACTGACGATCGGCCCGTGCGCCCCCACATCAATTGGATGGTTGCGGATCTGAAGATGACGATCATGTTGATGCTGTTGATGTTGATAATGGTGATGCCGACGATGTCAATGACGAGGTTGGCGACGACGGCCCTTATGGCGATGGCGGTAAGGATGATGTGGACGACGATGCGGAGGACGATGGGGAGGAGGAGGAGGAGGAGGAGGAGGAGGGGGAGGAGGAGGAGGATGGGGATGAAGGAGGAGGAAGGGGGAAGAGTAGGCGTAAGCTGGCGCTCACGACGAGGGCCCTTCGACCTCATTATGCTAGGCAGTCGGGCCCGCGCGCGCCCGACCAAGCGAACGGCGGGGCGCCGTGCCCCTCGGCGCCGCGACTTGCATGCCATCGGGGCTGCGCTATTCGGACTGGGCCCCACCGCGGAACAAACAATTCTTTGAGGTTGAGGTTGATGCAGACAGGGGGGGATTGATTGAGTTTGAGGTTGTTAGACGATAGGCTGAGGTTGACACAGAGAAGGGGGGGGGGGGGGTCGCATCACGGCTGCTACCATCAACGCTCAAGGCGCAGCTTTCGCAGCACTCTTCGAAGCCGCCTGCGTCGAAGCACCCTTGCGCTTCGATCCCGGCGATTGCGGCGCAGTGCAACCTGACGGGCGCATCAGGACAGCGCCCCCCTGAACCTTTTTCTGGTTGACAAGGAAGGGGATTGCGACCGACCACGAAGCCTGTCCACCGTCAGGCGCTTTGTCCGACGTTGGCGAATTGATTTTCTTGAGCACGCTGGGGGAAAGGTTTTCCTCGGCTTTGTTCTCTGTCACAGGCGCGCGCCAAACGGGCGCGACAACTTGTTCTTTCTGATCTTTCTTACTCGGGGCCCGCTGGCGTGGAAACCTCAAGGTAGGGGCGGCGACAACTTTATGCTAGGCAGGCAAGCCCTCGGAATCTGGGAACACCACTGCATTCGCTGGAACCTTCGACTCGTGAACAACCGATACCGACGTGCTGAGCGGAACGAAGATGCACGCGCCTTTCTCGTGCATCTTGCACCTCCACGCACGCTCAATACTAACCTTAGGCTCAACGAGGGACTCAACCTCAACGTGGATATCTGGCCTCGTCATCTGGTAGGCGTGCGCTAGCGCGCAACGGGTGCGAGCAAGCGCCATCTGGACCTTGGCGCCCTTCGTTTCCTGGCGAGGCGCCGTAAAAGCCGAGCGGGCTTGGAGGAAGGAACAGAAAAAAAAAAAACGCGTGGAAAAACACGGGGACGGCGAGCGGGACGAGGAGGAATATAAGGATGAGAAGGATGAGAAGAAGGGGGGAAGGAGGAGGAGGAGGAAGATGAGGAGGAGGAGTAGGGGGGGGGGGGGGGGGGGAGGAGGAGGAGGAGGGGGGGGAGGAAGAGGAGGAGGAGGAGGAGGAGGGGGAGAAGGAGGATGAGAAGGAGGAGGAGGAGGAGGAAGAGGAGGAGAAGGAGGAGGGGTGCGGAGGGGGGATGGTGGAGGACGATCCAGGTACTCAGCCGTGCCAGGCAAGCCCCGCCCCCCACCCACTCAGAAGAACGCGCGAGGAGGAGGGGGGGGGGGGAGAAGAGGAGACGGAGGAGGAGCAGCAGCAGCAGCAACAGCAGCAGCAGCAGCAGCAGTCGGAGGAGGAGGAGGAGGAGGGGGAGGGGAGGAGGAGGAGGAGGGGGAGGAGGATGAAGAACAATGCGCCAACTCTCCACGCACCCCTCGTGAGGGGGGGTGGTATTTGACGAAAACGCTGTCCAGCGCGAGGGTGGTGATGTTGCTAACCACAGCAGTGTATACTTTCGTCTTCGGGATGGCCTCGGGGGGGGGGGGGGGGGGGGGGGGGGCGGGGGTGCGACAACGAGATGAAAGAGGTGGCGGTGGAGGAAGAACCGACGCGATGTCAAATTGTTGTCTGGGGTCCCGGGGTTTTATCCCCCCCCCTTTCCTCTCCCTCCTCCTCCTCCTCCCCCTCCTCCTCCTCGCCTTCCTTCTCTTCCGGCCTCCCTACGGTGTTCGCAATCCTCCTTATCCCCCCCTTCCTCCTCGCCCTCCGTCTCGCCATCGTCTTGCGGTCTGGACTTGTATTCGTCGACGAGCAAGCCTGTCGCGATGTCGCCTGTAGCGCCGACGTCGGAGGCCTCGGCGCCAACCTTGGTCAAAGTGACGTTGCCCTCGGAAATGTCAGCGATGGCCCACTGGACCACGTTCTCCGACGACGAGGTCTTCTGCTCGACGATCTTCCCGATCTTGAACCCGAGCTTCGCGAGCTCCGCGGCGTCCAAACCTTTGCTGCCAAAAGAACGCAAAGTATTCGACGTGCTGGGCATCGCGTGTTGAACAGCTCCCTGGAGCGGCAGTGTGGACCCCCTGGCTTCTGGAACCAGCGCGAAGATATCGTCCAAGAAATCGTGTCCCACCTCGTCCAAGCTGTTGTACTGCTTGCGAAAGCGGGATTTTTTTCCCCCCCGAGGACGTGCATCACTGCTCGTATCTCCATATCGCCGAGAGCCCAAACGAGAAGGTGTTCTCCAACATTGAACCCCGTGCGTGACTTGAGAGTATCCAATCAATTCTGAGCGTTGCGAATCATCGAAACCAGCTTGTCGCGATTTGCTTTGTTCTTCCCTGAAATCGAACTGATGTCCATTCCAGTCAACAGCGTGGGTTTGCCGTTCTCGGTGTGGTTCTCGGGGGGCGTCATCGCTGCCTTGAGCAATGCATGGATTACCTCGGGCCCTTGCGCGAAGTCGACCTTCGAAAAAAATGAAAACGAGCGATGGGACGTCAACGCGACGCTTGAGCGTCCTGCTCCACACGCTCGAAGAGTTGGGGAAGACAGGAGGATCACCACCTGACCATTTTTCCACAAACGACGCCATGCTCAAGCACTGGTTGGCTAAATGCGGCCTCGTGCTCTCAACGTTCGCTGCGATTGTCTCCCAATCACACTTCATGCTCTTGCCCAACTGGTGCAACTGCACCAGCGTCTGGACTTGCGTCTGTACCTGTTCCGCCCCGTGGCCCGAGTTCTGCGCCTCGGAAATAAGTTTCGCCAACTTGGGGCCGAATTTTTCCACTTCCCATTGTATTACGGCCCACTGCAATCCATCGTTTAGGATCTGACCGTACTCTGGATTCACTGCTAGCACCTTCTCCTTCACCAGCTTGCCGTCCATGCAGAGCCTTTCGATGGGAGAGACGCGCCCTGCCAATGTAGCACTCGCACCTGCTATGGTGTGGGACTCCCCAACAGTGAGGAGGCGGACCATGTGGCGTTCAATAGGAGCAAGCATGCCAGCACATCGCTTCACCAAACCACCATACGTCTTCCACTGCTCGTCGCTCGTGGGGTCGATATCGAAGGCCGTCGCGTCGTGACACTTTTTTTTCGGCCGAAGCCTTGAGTGACGATACGGTCCAAAAAGAATGTGCACTGCCATCGGGTCCAACATCTCTTCGAAACGGTTGTGCACGTGGGGGATGGCTAGGGGCGGTTTGGCCCACTCCATGTAGGCCAAGCCCTCGTCGAGAAGCATTTTCAAACTGTTGTCTGCTTTGCACAGCATCTGATCGCTCGTCAGGCCGCCTGTAGCCTCGACCGTAATCATAGAGTTGATGATTGGCGCAACCGTGCGCAACGCACCATCGAGTTTTGACTCCATCAA